CACTTACATATATACTGGCAATTAACAAGTGGAATTTGAAATAAAAAACACAATACTACTTACATTAACACTGCCCCAAAATGAAATACTTAGGCATAAATCTAGCAAAATATGTACAAGATTTATATGAAGAAAATAACTGATGAAAGATATTCAAAGAAGAACAAAATAAATGGAGAGAAATTCCATGTTCATGGATACGAATGCTCGATATTTTAAGATGGCAGTTCTTCCTAATTTGATCTGTAAATTCAAATTTTGACTGGGCAATCCCAGTCAAAATCTCAGCAAGTTATTCTGTAGATGCCAACAAACGGATTCTGAAGTTTACATGGAGAAGGCATATACCCCAAAATAGCCAACACATGTTGAAGGAGAAGAACAAAGTTGGAGGACTGACATTACCCAACTTTTAAGACTTACTGTAAAACTACAAGAATCAAGACAGTGTGGTATTGGCAAAAGAGTAGACAAATAGATCGATGGAACAAAATAGGGAGCCCAGAAGTAGACCCACGTAAGTATTGTCAACTAAATTTTGACAAAGGAACAAAGGCAGAACAATGTAGCAAAGACAGTCTTTTTAATAAATAGTGCTGGAACAACTGGACATATACTTACAAAAGCAAAAAAAAAAAAGAAAATCTAGACACACTCGAAAGGGATCACAGACCTAAATGTAAAACACAAAACTATAAAACTCTTAGAAGATATTACAGGAGAAAATCTAAATTATCTTGGGTTTGGTGATGACTTTTTAGATACAATACCAAAAGCATAATCCATGAAAGAAAGAATTGATAAGGTGGACTTCATTAAAATTAAAAAATTTCTACTCTGTGAAAGACATTGTTAAGAGAATGAAGAGACAAGACTGGGAGAAAGTATTTTCAAAAGACATAATTGATAAAGGACTGTTATCTAAAATACACAAAGAACTCTTAAAACTCAACAATAAGAAAACAACTCAATTAAAAAATAGGCCAAAGACCCTAAGAGATACTTCACCAAAGAAGATAGACAAATGGCAAATAAACGTATGAAACGATGTTCCACATCATATGTCATCAGGGAAATGCAAATTAAAACGAGATACACTAAACACCTATTAGAATGAACAAAATGCAGAATGCTAACAATATTAAATACTAGTGGAGGATGGAGGAACATGAACTTTCATTCATTGCCGGTGGGAATGCAAAATGGTACAGCCACTTTGGAAAAGAGTTTGACGTTTTCTTTCAAAAATAAACATACTCTTATCATATAATCCAGCAATCACACTCCGTGGTATTTACCCAAAGGAGGTGAAAACTTAGGTCCACAAAAAAACCTACACACGGATGTTTGTAGAGGCTTTATTCATAACTGCCAAAACTTGGAAGCAAAAAAGATGTCCTTCAGTAGGTGAATGGAAAAACAAACAATGGTACATCCAGATAATGGAATATTATTCAGCACTAAGAGCTATGAAACCATGAAAAGACATGGAGGAAACTTAAATGCATATTACTAAGTGAAAAGGCTACATACTGCATGATTCCAACTATATGGCATTCTGGAAAAGGCAAAACTATGGAGACTGTAAAAAGATCAGTGGTTGCCAAAGGGCGGGGGTTGGGGCAGGGAGGAGTAGTGGAAGCACAGGATTTTTTAGGGCAGTGAAACTACTAGAAGACACTATAATGGTGGATACATGACGTTGTATGTCTGTCCAAACCCACAGAATGTACAATACCAAGAGTGAACCTTAATGTAGACTACGGAGTTTGGGTGATGATGATGGGTTGATGTAGGTTCATCGATTGTGACAAATGTATCACTGGTGGGGGACGTCGGTAATCGGGGAGTCTGTGCATGTCTGGGGTGGGGGGTGAGGAAGGGGGTATATAGGAAATTTCTGTACTTCTCAATTTTGCTGTGGATCTAAAATTGCTCTAAAAAATAAAGTTTAACAAAAACCAGAATAATTCATTCTTCGCTGGAAAATATGGTTTGCTCTTAACTGGAAATATGGTTTTACCTCCATAGAATTCAAGGTCCTAAGTGAACCCAAGAAAGCTTGTAGGACTTTTTGTTTGTTTCTTTCTTTCTTTTGCTGAAAATAAAGGCAGTGTAGCAAATAAAGAGTAAATCAAGGATATTTTCTACACAGTTTTACATTATTGTCCCCAAACTACAGGTTGTATGTGGCTTATAAATGTATCTTTCTTTGGAACAGGTACTAATATACATACTAGTAGACATTTTTTTTCTAGTTTGGCTCTGCACAAATATGTTTTTCAGATTTTTTGACTGAGTGGTTGATTCATATGTTTAGAAAACCCTGATACAGAATTGAAGGATATGCAGTTGTGGAGTTTTGTATTTAACAGGGATGCTTAGAATGACTTTATTCTCAAATTGTTTTACAGTCATTAAGCCACTATTAAAGTGAAGTCATCTTCACCAGCAAATTGGTTTCACTGATCAACACCTAAGTGCACATATATGAATAACATTTATTGGGTGTCGGGCAGCTGGGAGGGGGGAGGAGGGGATGGGTATATGCACACATAATGAGTGCCATGCACACCATCTGGGGGATGGACACACTTGAAGCTCTGACTTGGCGGGGAGGGGGAGTAAGGGCAACATATGTAACCTAAACATCTGTACCTCCATAATATGCTGAAATAAAAAAAAAAAAAATTAAAGTGAAGTAATCAATGTGATCATACTCATGTAGGACTTTTAGATTGTGCAGGCTATGAAGGCAGAAATTCTCCTTTATTCTCATATTTTTATAATCTATACTAAGGTCACCTGTTATAAAATAGGGTAGAATTGAACTATTGTATGATTTAAGGAGAGTCCTAAATTGAAAACTAAGTTATATCCCAGTAGAAACTTTACATTGTAAGTACTACATCTTTTAAAATATTTTTAAAGGGAAAAAATGTGCCCTTGGTAATTAATAGTTACATAAAAGGCCTGTGTTCAGACACTGAATGAAGATATTTTAAGGAGAGTAATGCTATAGGTGACTGTTTTAGCCAGATTGTATTTTCTGATCTGGTAAGGTTACCAATGCCTCTGCTATAAAACACTGTGGTCAGTTTGTACTTGCTGTGAAATACAATTTTGGTAATGTAATTTATCAGACAGGCTCTTTCTATGGCTTTAGATATTTCGTAATAGAACCTATTTCTAGTATACAGGAGTCCCCCCTTATCCTTGGTTTCGCTTTCCACAGTTTTAGTTACCTGAAGTCAATTGTGGTCTGAAAATAATATAGTATTTTGAGAGAGAAACCACATTCACATAACTTTTATCACAGTATATGGCTATAATTCTTTTATTTTATTGTTAGCTATTGTTAATCTCTTACTGTGCCTAATTTATAAATTGAACTTCATCACAGGTCTGTATGTTTTAAAAAAACATAGTATATATAGGGTTTGGTACTATCCATGGTTTCAGGCATCCACTGGTGATCTTGGAATGCATCCCCTGAGGATAAGGGGGGACTGCTATATTATTGGCACCAGCAGCAATTACTTTCATGCTATAAAGTAGAATCTCTGTGACTTCTAAGTCAAAACAACCAGGAGAGTTGTCTGGACTTAAAGGCATTTATAAAGGATTTTATTATTTTATTTCAGTAACTCTTTCAGTAGCTCAAAGTTCTCTCCCTCTTGTCATCAAAGAAATAGTTCCTCCCAAGCTGTGCTGTCCAGTTTAAGAGCCACAAGCCACAGGTGGCTACTGAGCACTTGAAATGTGGCTGGTTCAAACTCAGATGTGCTGTAAGTGTGAAATACACCCTAGATTTTAAGGAATTAGTACCAAAAAGCATATAACAGATCTAATTAATAATTTTTATTGATTATATGTTCATATTAAAATATTTTTGATATATTGGATAATAAACTATTCATACAACTGATTTCCGTGGTTTCTTTTTACTTTTCTCATTGTGGCTTTTAGAAATTTTTTTTTTTTTTTTGAGACAGAGTCTCACTCTGTTGCCCTGGCTAGAGTGAGTGTCGTGGTGTCAGCCGAGCTCACAGCAACCTCAAACTCCTGGGCTCAAGCGATCCTCCTGCCTCAGCCTCCCGAGTAGCTGGGACTACAGGCATGCGCCACCATGCCCGGCTAATTTTTTCTATATATTTTTAGTTGTCCGATTAATTTCTTTCTATTTTTTTAGTAGAGACGGGGTCTCGCTCTTGCTCAGGCTGGTCTCAACTCCTGAGCTCAAACAATCCGCCCGCCTCAGCCTCCCAGAGTGCTAGGATTACAGGCGTGACCCACCGCGCCCGGCCGCTTTTAGAAGTTTTTAAATTACATATGTGGCTTACATTTTTGGCTTGCATTATATTTCTGTTGGACAGCTCTGCTCTAAAGATTAATTAAGCTTATTTTCCATAAAATTAAGATTTAATTCCATTAGGTCAAATTGTTATTAGAAATATCACTTGATCTTTTTTTAAAAAAAGAAAAAAAGGCTGGGCGAGGTGGCTCACGCCTGTAATCCTGGCTCTCTGGGAGGCCGAGGCGGGCGGATTGTTTGAGCTCAGGAGTTCGAAACCAGCCTGAGCAAGAGCGAGACCCCGTCTCTACTAAAAATACAAAGAAATTAATCGGACAACTAAAAATATATAGAAAAAACTAGCCGGGCATGGTGGCGCATGCCTGTAGTCCCAGCTACTCGGGAGGCTGAGGCAGAAGAATTGCTTGAGCCCAGGAGTTTGAGGTTGCTGTGAGCTAGGCTGACGCCACGGCACGCTAGCCCGGGCAAAAGAGTGAGACTCTGTCTCAAAAAAAAAAAAAAAAAAAAAAGAAACAAAAAAAATGTGTTGCTAAAATTGTAGTCCTGTTACTGAAATTTGAATACAAGTCTGAGGTTGAAGAAACCTAACAGAACCAAATTCTTTAAAAGCATCTGATCTTTTTCTTCTTCTTTTTCTCCCCCCATGTCTCCCCTGTCGGAAACTTGGTGACTCCTCACAAAATAGCACGGTAAGAAAATTCTTCGTATCCATTTCAGGCTTTTGCAGACCTTCTGCATTAACAGAGTACGGACAACAGACATGGCGCCCTTTGCTGGAGGAGGCCTCTCGGCCACACGCTGGGGAGCAGCAGGTGCAGGGCACCCTCTGCCATCTGTTCTCCCAGTGAGCTCTTGTGAGCACCAGGCATCTGGCTGCCCCTCCTCCTGGCTTTAGGAAGATGCATATAATGACGTTGTTGGTAACAGTCACTATAGAGTCTGGCAACTGATGAAAAGAGAGAAAGAGAGAAAACAGGAAAAGAGGGTGAGATGATTTTTCCTGTGGAGTGAAGCTCATTCCCATGGCTTGATTTCCAAACAAGGAGATAGTGCTGCACGCTTCTGTTTGAACTTTCTTTTAAACAAAATTAAGAATTATAATAGAGTAAAAATATTTTTCCATTTAATCCAAAATATGTTAATTTTCTCTTTTGAATATTAATCATGAAATTTCTGATTTTTCTTGAAACTGATGAATATCTGACAGAGGATAGATCAAACATTATTCTAAAAAAGGAAAGACAGAAATAGAATCTTGTACTAGATAAAAAGGATGAATTATAAACTTTCTAAGGTTAGGTATCTTAGTAAACTAGTGTTAAAATGATTTTTACCTTTTGTGTTCTTTTTAAGAAATATATTTTAAGCATAGCTCAATGCTTATAGTCACGAGTGTATATATAGTTCTTAACTTGTAGAACTCTGTTTCAAATAGCCTAACACTGATCACACTTAAACTTAATACCACCACTGAGCCAGAATCCCCTAAGGCTACCTAAGGTTCAGATATATGCCACTGTCTATTTCTACTTCAGCCCCAGCTGTGAGAGAAGACACATTCACACCTGGTGGTAGAGGAGCCTCAGGTGATAGCTCTGCAGGCTGTTACAGCCTGAGTCCCTGATGATAAAGCAGACAGCAGGACCCCCACGCAGTGCAGAGCAGTGGAAAGAGAGTTAATGGAAAAGGAGATGAAAATAAACCAAGTGGAGAAAGGCCTGGTCAAAAAAGGAGGAAAAGGAAGATCATGATGGAATAATAGAGAGTTCAGAAATGAAGTAACACCCAGTAACAGGACAGGTAGGAAAAGAAGTAAGTAGGTAAGGGAGAGATAGGTGCTCTCCCTTACAAAGGTATGGGGAATAAGGAAAAGAGAAAAATGGCTATACCTCACCTCAATATAAGAAATGAAGGTTGCAGCGGTATCCTAGATAGTATCCAGTCTGAATGCAAGAAGACTAATTAGCCAGCTCAGAATCTCAAAGATTCTTTAAACCAACTGTGCTTAACTTACAGAGTTTATAAGTCAGATGTTAAACCCTAAAGTAGTTCCCATGCTGGCCATATAGCAACTTTGACATTTTATAGTTTTTGAAAGCATAGGCCTTGTGGCTTACATTTAAACACGTTAAAGTAAACATTTCAAAACATTTTTATGTTATGCCAAATGTAATTCCCATTTATTTTTCTTGTATTTTCCTTGGTTTCCCACTTCTTAGGCAATTTTTGAATTTTAACCCCTAGTCAATAAAAGAAAAGCAAAGTCTAGAAATGCATTCTATCCTCCAAATTTATCCTAAACACTGATACGCAGAAGGCCAGCGGGGACCATTTTCCCTATTAATGTTCTGATAGCTAAAAGGGGCATTTAGTCAAGAATGTGTGGTTTCTTTCCGATTTTAAAATTTATTTGCAAATCCTGTGTTAATGAAACAATTTTTAATTCAATGGACAAAAGCCATTGGCCTCATTGCATTTCAGCCTCAGAAATTAAATTGGATGTGGCTCCTGTTAAACACTGGCAGCTTCACGTTGGTGTCTGTGGGTGGCTGTAGTTGTCAAATGAAAAACTGTTGTTCCATTTCTTTGTTTTTGCTATTACTTCAAAAAATACCTATCTTAATTTCTTAGTATCTGGGATCCTGAGTATAGATTTCTAAGTTCTGTGATCCTAGGATAATTCATATGAGCTGAAAAATAATTTCTTCCCTTATGAAGTTCCTTTTCTCAGAAAAAGTATCTAATTTTGGGTCTGCATTTTAAGAGTTATTATATTAGCAACTATCCTTTTTTTTTTAGAGACAAGGTCTTGCTCTGTTGCCCAGGCTAGAGTGCAGTGCTGTCATCATAGTTCACTGCAACCGCAGACTCTTGGGCTCAAATGATCCTCCTGCCTCAGTCTCCCAAGTAGCTGAGGCTACAAGCACTTGCCACCACGTGTGGCTAGCCTTTATTTATTTATTTTGTAAAGATGGAGCCTCGCTATTGCCCAGGACGGTCTTGAACTCTTGGCCTCCCAAAGTGCCGAGATTACAGGTGTGAACCACCTCACCTGGTTGCATTCTTAACAACTATCTCAGTGAAAATTTGAAGAAAGGAAGTTTGATAGATTTAAACATTATATTATGGAGAATATTTCTAACAAGGTTTAAATTATAGCAAGAGTGAATTACGTAAAAAGTTAATCTTATTTTTAAATTCTCTAAATGGAAGAATCAGAGATTACTTAACTGTAATGTGGAAACTGGTATGAACCTTGGTGAGCTACCAAATCCTTTCCAGCTCTGGGCTCCTCGTGAGACCTGATGATTCATATGAAACACCTGGACAATCAGATGCCTCTATTTTAACCATCCACAGATCAACCCAGTAAACCTGCAAGATGTAAACATGAAGACTTGTTTTCACACACTTCACGATTGTTTAAAATCAGGGAAAACTGCAGCTATTCACAGTTCTGTCTAAACTTTTTCCTCTCTTCCTCCTTTCTCTCCTCTCACTTTTTTGTAGCACTTCTGGGGCCCAGTAGCCAACTGGGGTCTTCCCATTGCTGCCATCAATGACATGAAAAAGTCTCCAGAGATTATCAGTGGGCGGATGACATTTGGTAAGGATGCAGATTTGGATAATTGGGTGGATTTTAAACATAGTAGAGTCCTGCTTGCATTTAAAGTTTGCAGCACCAGACGTTACCATCACTATTAGAAAGTCACATTAAAGAATATGATGGCATTGAAGAGTGTTACCTCTCTATGGTAAGTAGGCAACAAGGTCAGTCAGAAATATTTCTAGGAAGTATTAACATTCCATTTGCCTTTCAGACTTAGTACAGCCAGTTAAGGAATGTGTCATCTTATCATACTAATAGCCAGTCTAACATATTTATATTGTGAACTTTATTTGGAAGAAGTATCATTAAATTTACTTAAAACCCTGATATTTGAACACAATACTATTGTTGAGGGAATAGCAATTCTTTCAGATAATGGATTATAAACAACTCCAGGGGACAGAAAAAGTGGCTAGAACTAATTTCAGCCTACTCTTGCTCACAATGTGTTCCTCAAATGTTTAAGTAATAAATAGCAAAAATACCTAACATGACAGTAAAATATTTTATGAGCTTCCCATTCATAGACATTTAAGCAATAACTTGTATCACCTGTCAAAGGTTTTAGCAGAAGAGGTTCTTTTTGATTAAGGCAATGAAACTGTTGATCTCTGTGGTCCCATCAACTTTTTTGTGTTGTAAGTTGTCAATTTTCTTTGCTTTGATATTTCTGGCAGCCCTCTGTTGCTATTCTCTGACATTTATGAGATTTGCCTACAAGGTACAGCCTCGAAACTGGCTGCTATTCGCATGCCATGCAACAAATGAAGTAGCCCAGCTCATCCAGGGAGGACGGCTTATCAGACACGAGTAAGCAGATCCCGATTTAATTATTTTATTCTGAGGAATTGGGGAGAATGACACTAAAAGATCTTATCTTCAGGGACACTGGGAAACTGGTATGTGAGTGTGAATAGATGTGTTTTAGCAATTGGGGAAACTGGACTTACTAAAACATGAAAGTTAACATGAAATAGGGTACAGGCTGACAGCATCCCAAATCTGAAATCTGAAATGCTCCAAAATCTGAAACTTTCTGAGTGCCAACATGACACCCAAAGGAAATGCTCATAGGAGCATTTTGGATTTTCGGATTAGGGATGCTCAACTGGTATGATGCAAATATTCCAAAGTCTGAAGAAATCTGAAATCCTAAACACTTTTGGTCCTAAGCATTTCTGATAAGGGATACTCAATCTGTATTGCTGTTTTTATAAAATTGTAAGCTGAAATAAATGTTACGTGAAGTTGTCTTTCTAAAGCTATCCAAAGCCTGTGGAGGCTGGCAGTGAAATTTTGTTTCTCATTGTATTTTTCTTTGTGTTTATTTTCAGGATGACTAAAAAGGCATCTGCGTAACAATGGAAAAAGAAGAACAAGGTTTTGAAGGGACAGCATTACCAGCTACTGCTGCTGAGTCACAGATTCCATTATCATAAATAGTCTCGCTAAGGAAAATATGCTGAATGCTATTTTTACTAACCATACTATTTTTATAGAAATAGCTGAGAGTCTCTAAAACAACTCTCTGCTGCCTTACTGAATATTTTACTTCTCTTCATAAAGAGTAGCTCAAAATATGCAATTAATTTAATAATTTCTGATGACGGTTTTATCTGCAGTAATATGTATATTATCTATTAAGATGTACTCAATGAAAAACTGAAGAGAACAAATTTGTAACTACCAGCAATTAAGTACTCAGAATTCTTGGCTTTTTCTTTAATGACCACAAGACAAGCAACAGCTGGCCACATACCTGAATTCTTATCCTGTGTTTAAAAATGTTATCTGTGTATTTCCATGCAGTGTGTATATTGAGATGCTGTAACTTAATGGCAATAAATGATTTAAATATTTGTTAAATTAGTCTGCTTAAAGGTCTTACTACATCTGCTAGGGAACTACAGAACTATGTATCTGAAACGACAATTATAGGTAAAAAACGGAACTCCTTGAAAATTAAGATGGCTGGAGGAAACACAGAGCTGGAAGGCCACTTCCTTTTGGACACTATCCGGAACATATTCCTTCTCTTATGGGCAAACGTTAGAAAATACCCCTCAGTCACTGTCTGCAGGCCGGTCACGTAAGTGTTCTGAGCTTCCGATGCCCCATCTGTAAAAAGGTGAAGTAGGCGATTTCTGTGGTGATCTAAGAATTGTGCTGTTTTCCACAACTGAGACGCAGGGACGTGCCTGGTGATCCCAGGTCGAGCACTGCACTGGGCCCTGGGTGGGGAAGTCGACCTCTAGGGAACGGATAAAGCCGTTAAGTAGGAGCTACTTCCAGAGAAATCTGAGCGAAGGACTGTACCCTAAGAACAGAGTCCTGACTTCTTAGTTCACATTATGCAGTTAAGTTAGGGTTTTAGAAAACACCCCACTTGAGCCTGGGTGCTGTGTCCCCTTCTCTGCAGTAGCAGATGCAGGCAGCAGCGCAGCCTGCGGGGAGCAGGGGGAGGCCGGCGAGGTGCAGTCAGGGCTCCTGAGAAGCACCCTTTCTGTCTCCCTGGTCCCTCTGAGTCCGTATTCTGCCACTTTTATTTCCTTTTTAAGGTGTTAAGTGGTTTACAAAGCATTATCATACGTATTCTCTTTTGAGCCTCACACAGCGCTGTGACGCAGCCAGGACCTTTACAGAGGAGGCCACAGGTCTGGAAGCTGTGGGATACTTGGTACTTGGCAGGGACGGGGCGCCACACCTGCCCCGGGGTCCTGTCCTGCCAGACCAGGACTCCATCCGGCTCATTCTTCCACAGTCACCTGAAGTGGAGTTGAGGTTGGTTAAAGGAACTAGCACGAAGAGCCATAGATTGGTCTAATTAAGTTAAAACAACTTCTGCTACTTCATTATACAAAGAGTGCTACTTGTAAGAAATTTGAACTTCACAGACACTGAGCGTAGCAGCTGGAAGCCTCATAGTCCATCCCTCCTGAGTTGGCCACCGTCAGGTTTTGCTGGGTTTGGATCTTTCTCCTCCTTTTGTCACCTTGGAAAAGCTCCCATCCTGCCAGCCTTCAGTATTGAGTAAGGGGCGGGGGGCTTCCACACCTCCCTCAGAAAGGCTTGCTGGGTCCCAAAGGAAGAGACCGTGAGGTCAGTCCAGCTGGGAGCCTACGCAGCTCCAGGGACGAAGCAGCAGATACTATAGGAGATTAGAGCAGGAAAGGTCCCTGATAAAAATCAAGGCAACAAACTGTTGGGTTCAGTGACCTTTTCTCATACTCCTGAGGAGAAAATAGGCAGAGAGGCTGGTAAGGAAATTCCTGCTGGCCAGAAGCTTCACCCGAGGTGGGAGAGAAGCCCTGGATGAGCACACGCAGCCAAAGTGCATGCAGATCAAGTCACGCAGTCTGTGGTCCCGAGGAGGACCCTGCAGAAGTGGACTGATCACGCACGCACCTGGCTCTGTAGGAGGGTCCCAGGAAGCTTCCCACTGTGGCGCTTTCCCTCCACACAAAGCCCTGAGCACTTGCAAAATGAATGCTTAGAAGTAGTGGGAAAGCGTATGAGACTTCTGTACTCCGGTAATCTGCTTCTTGATTTCACGTAGGCTGGAGACCAACCGTGAAAACTATATTCCAGAATAAGATTTTTTTAAGTTTCTTGGTTGCTTTAAGTTCATTGTATCCAATGTCTACTGTTAGCAAAAAGGACACTCAGAACAACTGGGAATTCAGTATATAAGCAACAGCCTTATCAAAAGAAGACTGACCAGTTATTTAAATTCTGTTTCTCACTGGACTCTGGAGGCAGAAGACTTCCTGGGCAATACTGATTCCTAGGCCCTGGGCAAGCTCTCACTGCTCTTTCATCCTGGGCATTCCCAGAGCTTTGTTTTCTAGAGACAGAGGAAACGTATTATCACAACATTTGGTGAATGTTTGGTCTGTACTAAGAAAGAAGTATGCATTATAACGTTTAACCCTAAGGACTAGAAGTCAACTCTGTTCTCTTCAGTATAATCTCATAGTTGTCCCTGGAGTGTTTGGTATGTGTTAATGGCGAACGCTGCTGGCAACGGAGATCTAGTAACCATGAGAGAGTCGGCACTTAAGTAACAGCCGCACAACCAAATGATTGGGTTGATCAAGGACTAGGATGATGTAAAACTTGATTACTTTACAAGCCCAAATATTCAAAAATTTAAATTTCCACTTAATATTGTCTCTAAAAATAATTCTCGGGGACTCAAAATAGTTTTCATTTCAAAGAACAAAATACAAACAGTCCAAAGATGTAAATGAGTTGTGACTAACTTCAAGATGAAGTTGATACCAACTGTCAACACTGAAGCGCAATGTTGATTTCAGCTACAAAGGCAGCTCTTTCCTCGGTTATGACACATTCACGGGGCTGGAGCGACAACTGGGAAGTACTTCCTGCACAGCTACAAGTTTTCAAGCCAGGCAGCGGGAGTCCTGGCACCGTGAAGGGCGACTCCGCAGGCTGCGTGCGCTGCCAGAGCTGCCAGTGCGAGGCAACGGCTGAGAAACCAACAGCCTTTGCTCCCGATTCCCCGCGGACTGCAGCTGGCCAGCACGCTGGTCGATTTCTTCAGCAATCTTTCCACACTCCACGTAGCAATGGTGACGTTCTGCCATTCTGAACCTCAGCTGGGTTCAATTACTTTGTCTTTTTGCATTTTTATCTTGATTTCTCAGATGTTTTCTTGGATTAATTTGCATGCAGAGTGCCCAGGGAGTCATGAGAAAGGAAGCACAGCTGTTACAACACCCGAGGACACTGAACTTGCACCACATTACCGAGAAGATATCTGATAGCCTCAAAAGCAGTCATTCACGCTTTAAGGTCAAGGAGGGAAGTGAACATCCAGATTGCATCATGCGCAGCGGAGACCGAGTGGCTTCTGCCCGTGGCCCTGGAGAGTCAGCGTCCGTGAGGAGTGTGGGGAGAGCAGAGGTCTGCGGAGAGGAGCGATCCCAGGCTAGAAAATGACAGTCCTCGCTACCCGCCCGTTGGCAGCTGGCGGGAACCGAACTCAGCCAGGCTGGTCACACAGGACTCCCAGGGTTTTGCTGTTGTGTTGTTTTGGATGCACGTAACAGTAACCACAGAAAAGCTGGGTGAGGATTAGCTACTCTCTGACAACCTCGTTATGAAAGTTTGTCACAGGTCAGACTCTGCCTTATCTCGACCAGTGTTTAGCAACCGTTCACTAGCTGGCAGGCACAGCACGTGGCTGCTCTGCGCTCTTGGTGAGCTGCAGCTCTGATTCCCTTCAGGTGCTCTGAGAGGGACGCCCATCAGAGGCAGATGTGACAATATTTCAGCCTATCACTTATAATTCCACAGAAACTGTTAATTCCATTGGAGTGGCTTAACGGTGGTTTTCTGCTTCTAGTTATTAGCTAGCCTTCTGTAAAGTTTACTCATTAACTAAATCCACGCACTCACACATAAACATGGGCCCTGGTGAAAGGCAAGATAAATGTTCATTTCTTTCCTTTTCTACCCAATTTTGAAAGTAAGGAATTGGTGTAATGGCTATTTCAGTTGTAACAAATTTTTAATTTTCTTCTGCTTTGAGCAAGATAACGGACTTACGAATTTTCATAGATTTAATGTTTCTATCAACTATGATTCTTCTTCTTTGGGGCCCAATGGTCATACCCTTGGCCACTGGAGCCCCTTAAAAGGTATCCTTATGGTATGATCTCACATCTTTGAAAGCCTCCATGTTTTCTGGTACAAGATGATTTCTGCTCACCCTGTCCCTTGCCTGCCCCCAACATGCAAGAGATGTTTCTCCAAGGAGCTCTGGCCCCATTTATGAGGACTGGTATTGGAGCCAACAGATGGACTCTGGGCACTCTCGTGCTGCTAGGGGGACACGACTTCTTGCCATTTCAGTGGACAGTGCTAGAAAGGTCTCCTTAAATAGCAAGTTCATACTGATATTTCCACTTCAGTTCTACTACAGAATTTCTACTTAGTTTATTTGATTTTATAATTAAATCTCTCTTACACTGAATAGCATTATTTCTAATAACCCAAACATTTCATACTTTTTTGGTTTATCCAACAGTATAAAAAAAGTTTCGTAAGAACAATACCATTATTACCACAATGAAACTACTGAATAAAAGTTCAAAATTTACTTTTGTCCTCAGAATGCATTTTCAAAGTACGTGTGTTCCAAATAATAGTTCTAAATTCACTTGAAATAATCTTTTACTCTATGCTATGTAAGCACTCATCCAATGTGGAGTTTAGTACAAGCGTTTGTTTTTACTTTCAGTGTAAAGGTTTTTGCATTCTAGCAGCTGCTAGTTCTTAGGTGGTACTTTTGGCTCTTACTCTGAGCCCCAGGAGGCTGGAGGCTGGAAGTCGAGTCTACCAGGGAACTTCAAGATGATTCGACCACCTGAGCAATTCAGTCTGTACGTGCTTCAATTCCCATCATTTAGTCTGTGTACACCAATGAGTTCTAGCTAAATGAATCAATTCTACCTTTTATTATTTAATTTCAAGTGCTGTTAGAATCTAGATATTTTAACTTTTTAATCCTGTCCTGAAAGATTATCTTCTGAATATTTTATCGTGTGCCGTTTTTGAGTTACAACTTGTCCAAGTACAAATAATCATATCCAACCAAAATACATACCATGTTATGTTATTTTCTCACCAAGGTTTAAACTGTATAAATTCAAATCATTCTCTCTATCAACATTCTCTTGGCCTTGTGTGAGTCAGTGTTTAATTTTCCTGCAGGGGGATTTTAAGGAGACAGAAGGTGTCTTAAGATCCCACACCAAGAGCAAAGGCCACAAGTGTAAACCTAGCTCTTTAGGGTTTGTCTGAAACCTTTTCTTCATTTGTAAGTCAAAATCCAGACTTTA